GAGCCCCCCCCCCCCGTCCTCAAGTTAACACTCCTACCGAACGCCTACCGGATATAGTCACGCCACGCCACTGTTAACAATCGATCTTTAACATCTAAAGCTCGCTATAAAGTTGAAAATATGATAAAGAACATTTTACTCTTTGCGTGTTTTCCCCGAGCCCCCATTTTTCGGAGCTATGGGGCAATTTTCAATTCGATGCTGTAAGCGGCCAAATTATTCAAATTTCAAAATCGAAAAGTCTCCTAAGAGGAGAGGTCAATTCCTTTTTATTGATGTGCCATATGACCCCTGCTGCTCTAAAATTTTGGGGGCCACGACCCTCCAAAAATTTTTGGGGCTTTGGAGGGCCCTAAGTCGAAAATTTCAAATCGCAAGGGTATGTTTTGACTTCAGATATGGATTCTACGCGAAAAGTTACGTAGAATTGATATGGCGCACGGCCTGTTCGCTCCAAATTACTCAGGAACCCCATTTCTCCATAAGAGGCCGTGGATCTTTGGAGAAAATAAGGGGCAAAAAAAAAAATGAATCAGAACTATTAATTCCTGGTAAATAAGATTCAGCCCAATCGTATCAGTGGGAACGAAAACACATCAACTCGAAAAAACGAAAATAATCAAGACACACGCAAAACTACACAGTAGTTGAAAAAGTTAGAACAAGAAAAAGATTCTTGGTGCCGATGGACAAGTACTTAAGGGCACTTTAAAGGTCAAAGTGGGAACAGATGCGTTAACTTCGATGACCTGTGTGAAAACTGACTCTCTTTCATGAAAATTGATCATTTATGAGTTACCGAGTTGGTGTGTTTTCGTACTCACTGATTCAATTTCCCATTCGCATCGTACATATACGTTTAAAGTTTCGGTGCCGTCCTATGGACTCGCAAGTGTCATTAACGTTGAAACCGCGCAGGTAACGTTCATTCTCCTTTTACCTTATCTTTCAACTCATTACATTTATAAAACTTCAGTCTTAAACATCTGCGCTCACACTGCCTAAAATTTACTTTTGTCCAGGATTCTCTTTGGATTGGCCCGAAGGAAAAGACACATGGACACATCTCCAGATATTACTTTGAAGAAAGCATCGGGCCCAACACTTGTGACGGATTCGACGGATAACGTCCCAGCTGTTGGCAACGCAGGTACTTTAAAGCATGAAGCATCAGAATTGGACACAAAATCGGCATTTGGCGATGACCGCGCAGATCTTGTCCCCCAGCCTGTGAAAAGAGAGAACGGAACTTCATGTGATGGCTTCATCTCACCAGGACCGCACCATGGCGATTCTCTGTTCGATCTCTCCGCTCGCGTAAAATTCGAAGTAGACGAAAGTTTTACCGACCTGTTGCATACCAGTATTGACATTAAGGAAGAAGACACTTCGCAATCCGACCAATCGGAATGCCCAGTAAAAGGCACTACAAACGATTCCGGAAATGATTTGCGTCGTACAAGTAATCATGTTCCACTGACTCCGCCTGCTGGAAGTGGAAGCATCAATGACCAACGTCCCCACCAACTACAAAATCCCCGTGGAATAAAACAGGAATCAGATGGAGATGGATGCAATAGCGAAACGTCAAACAAGCCTCACATTGAAAGGGCAGTATATCCGACCAAAAGAACTGAATTCCGAAACAGACCAGTCAAAAGCACCCAACGTTCTGTATCTTCATCGCGTAAAAACCTTCCGAAACAACGTATGCGGACGCAACATGGCGAGCAAGTTTTCAGTTGCAGTAATTGCTCTTCCCCTTTTAACCGAAAAGGTCATTTGAGGCTACATACTCAAACGCACACTAGCGAGAAACCCTTCAGCTGCAGTCATTGCTCTTCCTCTTTTATCCGAAAGGGTGATTTAAAGCTACATATTCGAACGCATACTGGCGAGAAACCTTTCAGTTGCAGCCATTGCTCTTCCTCTTTTATCCGAAAACAGGATTTAAAGGTACATATTCGAACGCATACTGGCGAGAAACCTTTCAGCTGCAGTCATTGCTCTTCCACTTTTAGCCAAAAACAGCATTTAAATCTACATATTCGAACGCATACTGGCGAGAAACCTTTTAGCTGCAGTCATTGCTCTTCCTCCTTCAGACAAAGAAATGCTTTAAAGGGGCATATTCGAACGCATACTGGCGAGAAACCTTTCAGCTGCAGTCATTGTTTTTCCTCCTTCAGACAAAGAAGTGCTTTAAATCTACATATGCGAACGCATACCGGCGAGAAACCTTTCAGTTGCAGTCATTGCTCTTCCACTTTTAGCCAAAAACAGCATTTAAATCTACATATTCGAACGCATACCGGCGAGAAACCTTTCAGTTGCAGTCATTGCTCTTCCTCTTTTAGCCGAAAGGGTGATTTAAAGCTACATATTCGAACGCATACTGGCGAGAAACCTTTCAGTTGCAGTCATTGCTCTTCCACTTTTAGCCAAAAACAGCATTTAAATCTACATATTCGAACGCATACCGGCGAGAAACCTTTCAGTTGCCGTCATTGCTCTTCCTCTTTTAGCCGAAAACAGGATTTGAAGCGACATATTCGAACGCATACTGGCGAGAAACCTTTCAGCTGCAGTCATTGTTCTTCCTCCTTCGGACGAAGAAGTGCTTTAAATCTACATATTCGAAAGCATACTGGCGAGAAACCTTTCAGTTGCAGTCATTGCTCTTCCTCTTTTATCCGAAAGGGTTATTTAAAGGTACATATTCGAACGCATACTGGCGAGAAACCTTTCAGTTGCATTCATTGCTCTTCCACTTTTAGCCAAAAACATCATTTAAATCTACATATTCGAACGCATACTGGCGAGAAACCTTTCAGTTGCAGTCATTGCTCTTCCACTTTTAGCCAAAAACAGCATTTAAATCTACATATTCGAACGCATACTGGCGAGAAACCTTTCAGCTGCAGTCATTGTTCTTCCTCCTTCGGACGAAGAAGTGCTTTAAATCTACATATTCGAACGCATACTGGCGAGAAACCTTTCAGCTGCAGTCATTGCTCTTCCTCTTTCATTAATAAAACCGCTTTAACGGAACATATTCGCACGCATACCGGCGAGAAACCATTCATTTGCAGTCATTGCTCATCCTCTTTTCGCCAGAGAAGAGATTTAAAGGAGCATATTCGAACTCATACTGGCGAGAAACCTTTCAGCTGCAGTCATTGCTCTACCTCCTTTAGGCGAAAACACCATTTAAAGCGACATATTCGAACGCATACTGGTGAGAAACCTTTCAGCTGCAGTGATTGTTCTTCCTCCTTCGGACGAAGAAGTGCTTTAAATCTACATATTCGAACGCATACTGGCGAGAAACCTTTCAGCTGCAGTCATTGCTCTTCCTCTTTCATTAATAAAAACGCTTTAACGGAACATATTCGCACGCATACCGGCGAGAAACCATTCATTTGCAGTCATTGCTCATCCTCTTTTCGCCAGAAAAGAGATTTAAAGGAGCATATTCGAACGCATCCCGGCGAGAAACCTTTCAGTTGCAGTCATTGCTCTTCCTCTTATAGCCGGAAATATACTTTGAAGCAACATATCATGACGCATACTGGGTGAGAATCGTTTCATTTGTTTTCATTGATCCGCTTCTTTTAGTCGAAAATGTAAATTAAGGGTACATATCCGAACTTTCACTGGCGAGAACTAACGGTCAAAGATGCACTTGGTCAATTTTCTCATAACCTCATTGCACTGCACTCTTTTAGCACGGCGATAACGGACATAGTCATACTCTTTACATTAAGGGCACTCTGCTACCGTGATGGCGAACAGAGCAGTAATTCGCAAGTTTTTAAACTCCAGTTTTCTCTTTAATTCGTCTAATCTAATTTAGATAAAATTACCGATGCTGCTGAAATTACAACATCCGTCTTATTTGTATAGAGTGAAGACACCTGCAGTGAGGAAGCCGTAAGTGCGCAAAAATTGACTTTGTCCGAGACAAAATAGCCATAAGAAGCATCATTCCATATTAGGGATCCAACGAGAATACTATTTTTAGGTAGAATGGTGCCTTTTTTTGACCTTTTGACGAGAAAACATGTGTATAGGAGGTCTAGTACTCCACGTGTCTTGTGGTTTATCGGATTTTGATCACAACCCCTGAGCACAACTAGTCTTATTCTGCAGATGCACGCGTTGCATACACGGAATACTGAAGACGCTCTGACTTTTCCTTAGCTGATGTGAGCTACGAACGTTAATTTCACTCCCATGAGTTAATTTTGTAATTTTTTGAAGTGTCCATCCTGTTAGGAGTGAAATTTTCATGTAAGAGCATTTCTGTCATGATATCGAAGAGAGCCGTTTCTCTGTTTCTCTCTCGAGAGCCGCTATAGCATAGCGTGCTCTTTGGAATACGCCTCAAGGCGGCCGATAGATCTAGATGCTGGTCCCATTGCATCTTGCCTCCTGGGTTATTTCAAAGCCTCTCCGTGGCGGGAACGTGCTTGAATTTTCGCATCGTGATAATTAAAAGTGGAGACCGTTTAGAGTGCTGGTAATTTTTTTTTTTTTAAATAATGCTATGAACGAAGGAATCTATTATGACCCTTTATGTCCTCCTAAAGCTCTCTAATATTTACGTAGCTACCAATTTGCCTAGAGCAGATCGCTGTTTGAAAATATAATTTTCGGTCACACGTGTAAGCTGCGAGGCCTTGTAAGAGGGTTTCCGGTTGGCTGTCATTTCGGCATGATGAGCGGCCGTGAAGGCCAAGATACACCAGCAAGTTTCAAGCGCTCGTTAAAACAACTGTATGGTGTCCACTGTCCCATTTCTCCTTCAATTTTGATGATACTTCAAGCACACCCATGAAGCACGAATAGTGATATAGGAGAACCACGTACTAACTCTCAACTAACTGTGCTCTTGTAGGATAGCAACGACATTAAACAGACGGGGTTTTCCCTCTTAACTAACAGTATTTTAAACCCGCCAAATGTTCCCATGCGTTTAAAGTCAACTAAATACCCACAAATTTTATGATGTGGAATAAGTCATGGGGCAGGAAGAATTCTTCCAATTTTTAACCCCTCCTCCTCCTTTCAAACATATGAGCATTCTGTGAAAATCCGTAACGATTGTCGTTTGAAGAATTTACCGAAAGGTGTTAACCGTGTGTTTACATGATTTTATGGAATTGTGTGAGTAACAGCGGTGATGACAAAGCAAGTAGCACGAAAAATTTATCTTGAAATTATTCGTCCGCTTTTTGAGCTTCAGGATTTTTTAATCATGATAAAAGTTTCATTTCCCCAATTGGAAAAGCACTTGAAACTGCACTGGAAAGGATTTGAATCCTGAAGAAGTGACAAAAAAACTTGTGTGGACTCAAAATATCGGTCTGAATTTTTTTTTCTTTCTCCTCGAATGAATAATGATACTTAAGTAAATTGTGAATTCAAAGCGTGTGTGCATTATAGTTCGAAGTTTTCAAATAGTTCTTGAAAATTCTAAAAAGTGCCTGAATATTTATTTTTCAAACTTGCCTAAGTCGTTGAGTGAAAACCGGGGACAAATTGACACATTTTATTGCCCTGAAGTCTATTCTGCCGTGCTAAGGAAGAACGCCGTATGAGCTTATAGGCGTTGCCAAATTTCCTTCGACAAATCACGAGTTTTCAGGAAAATTTGTGAATATTTTTTCTCCAATTTTTAACAAAATTTTTTTCGTAATTGTACCTTAAAAGTTTGAGAGTCATAAGGAGAAATATGCATGACTTACTTCAAAAATACATGTTTTATTCGTGGAAATTTGGCCACTCTCTAATGCTCATACGGCATTCTTCCTTAGCACGGCAGTATTGCCGATGGTTTGGTGGAGTGAAGTGGTCTTCGTTCAGTATCCGCAAAATTCCAGAATGAGAACACCAAGAACTGGACTACCGTCCTGTATTTCCGTTCCACAATGATGAAGATGAAACTACTCGATGATGTGTGTTCACCGATGAGTCATGCGGACGGGCGCTGCGCAAGAGTACATGCCTCTTGGCTTTGTCCCAGGCCCAGAAAGGAAACGACGAGGAATTTATTCTGAAAATGCACGCGGAAAGCGCATCGGAGTGCTTACCGCGACTTTTAATTAGCGTGTATGAAATGTTGGAATAAATATTGACACACCGTTAATTATTGCCGGGGAGCCTCGCCCCCCTAGCGAGGGAGGGGGAGCGCGCGGGGAAACAATTTAAAATTTGTTCCCGCTCGATTTAAGGCTTGTCAAGTGCCATTACGACTCGTTTTGCTATTTTCTCGGAAATAAATTGTTTTCTGGCTCTGAAAAGTTACATTGAAGCAAAACACAGTAAAAAGGTTTAATTGCAAGCAAAGATTATGTATCCGCCGGAGTGCCGGGGTTCCTTAAGTGGAGCATAAACCAGTCGCGGAAGGCTCAGCTTGCCACGCCCCTTGGAGGATGATGTACAAACCCCGTGTGCACGAGTACGAGTACATGAGTTCTAGCCCAGCGCCAGCGCGGCAGCTACCCCGCTATCACTCTTGCCGGATTCACCGCCTAATATTTGCATCTAGCTCAAATGATAAGAACAGACTCTTTGGCAAGGAAAGGGTGCGCGGAGGTAGGATGTTAATTTTAATCTCAGTTTCGTCATTTTATTTTTATTTGCAGATATTTTTTTCGTCATAGTTGTGTTTGGTAGATGAATAAAGTGATACACGAGTAATTTCATTTAATTTGGATTATCAAGATTTATATTTTTAATATCGTATTTAATTCTATTTGTATTTTATAAAAATTTTAAGTCAAGTTAAAGTAATAATTTTCAAAACGGTAATTAATTTTAGTGGTTTAAATTGTAATAAAGAAGTTTAAACTTATAATTAAATTTACAATTTAACCCTTTTATCAGGCACTTTATTTATTAAAATTATTAGTTAGTCAATTCTAAAAAAGGAGATGTTTGCATCTTAAGGATTGTTTACCCCATCACGGAGGCGGTACAGCATGGCCAGCAAAATCCGGAATTCGAAGTATGAAAAGCGGACAATAACGTCCACTTTATTGGATTAAATCGATTCATGATATAATTTCAAACACTTCACTCGAAAAAAAAAACTCATTGGATCTAGAGTCCAGACTCTTGAAAACATTGACAAGAAAAAGAACTCTTGATTCAATCAGATTTAAGCTTAAATCAAAAGGAAATCCGCTCAAATTATGAGGCTTGGTTCTTGATTTAAGCTTAAATCTGATTAAATAAAGAGTAATTTTCTTTTCGATGTTTTTAAGAGTCTGGACTCTAGATCCAATAAGTTTTTTTTCCATTGTTTATACAGAGTGATTTTGCTCCATTAAATACACCATTTCCAAGAAATTCGGTGATAAAACTCGTCCGCACCGGCCTGCGTCATCAAAAAAGTCTATGATGCCCGAAATGCGAACACCTCCTTTATTTCGCCATGTGCGTGCCTTGCATGCTTGGCCTTAAGCATCGCTGCGGACCTTGGACCTTTCTCGCAATGAATCTGTTGCGAACTTCAGCTAGAGCAAAAAGCAGAGATAATTCTCATACAAAATGACTCAAAAATCACGATGAGCGTCTTGGGAAAGTCTGAAATACACTCTTAACTTCACAATGCGCGTATAAAATGTGAGTTTTTTTAAGCTTCCCGCTTCAAAAACGACACTACGGCTCAGGGATCACAAGATTCCGTCAGGGGAGTCGTTTCATACAACCCTTGCGTACTAGGATGCTACGCAATATTCAATATGGCCGACGCCAACCCGCAAAAAGACATGATGAGATTGGATTTTATCAACCGGCGGGTTTATATTTACATTTTCCAGGAGTTGATTAAGATCATGGTGCTTTCTTACGATTTGCATGCGGAAGCGTCAGCCATGATGTTGAGAATTGCATGTGTAGCACCGCGTGCGTAAGGGTTGGTTGAAACGCCTACGGAATAATCACCTGTGCCGTAGTACCGATTTTGAAGCGGGAAGCATAAAAAAACGCATATTTCTCAAACAGATTGCGAAGTTAGAACTAGATGTGTGCACTAGACTTTTCCGATGCACTATTGATGATTTGTAGGCCATTTCCTACAGAAAATAACTCTTCTTTTTGTTCTGTTTAAAGTTTGTAACAGGCCCATTCTTCGGTACTTTTGTTGCCTGGATCGGAAACTTCGGTGCGTCGTATACGATCTGAATTTTTTTTCGGTGCATGGTAGCTTCCACCTTCGTCTTACGAACAGTGCGCTTTTCTCATGTAAATCGGTGTCCCAGAGACGCAGCACCAGGAACCAAGTTATTTTGGCAACCGAAGAGTGTGTTCCTGTGGCTGCCTACAGGGACACCCGCAGAATCACTTTGCAGTTGATTCTCTCATCTGAATCAGTTAGGCTCTTTTTGAATTCAGGCTAGAGGAACCAAGTAATTTAAAGTTCAAGAAAAAAATAAAGGTTTCCGTCGAAAATTTGGCTCTCTCGGTCAGAGATAAACAAACGAAACTTCTGCAATTTATTAAAATGAACATTTTTAAACTTTATTTTTGTTTTGTTTTGAGAAATGAAAATTCAATTTCACAGGAA